CAGCACAGGTGTCCCAGCAGGGGGTGGGTCAGCCAGCTTTGGTGATGGAAAAGTGGGGGTCTTGATGTCGGAGGAGCAGGCCTGGGTCCCGTAGCTGGTGACCTCTCTCCCTAGGCTGGGCCTGTCTTCCTGGCCCTGGCTTTGTGGTGCCTACTGGGTGGCGGTTTGTGGCCTGTGTGCTGCTCCTAGCGTGGTGCTAGGCTGTGGAGCAGAAGAACTGCATTGCACCGTGCCTGCCACCCTGAGAATGACGTGGGTCTCTGTCGCTGCGTGGCTCTCAGTACATGCTTGCAGAGCTGGTGGCTGTGGGGTGGGGTCCTTTCAAGGAGGCGCTCTGATCTCTGAAGATGGCTCAGAAGTCGCGAGTTCAGCCATTAGGAGCAGCTTCTCCTTAGTGTGTTGTGAAGCAGCTCTGAACTTCACTTGGTGACACCAGCACTTCATCTCTTGAGCATGCCCAGGTCTGCAGGGAACTGACCATTCAGGTCTGTGCTGCCACAGGCACCGGCGGGGCAGTGGGCAGGCTGGGATGGGTGGTGGTCACTGCTCAGTTCAGTGGTACTCAGCCCCCTGCAGCTTGTTTCCTGATGCCCTGGCACCATGACCAGAGGCCACCAGGGCTCTCCCAGCGTCCTGACCAGGAAGCTTGTGTTTTTCCTGCCTCGCCCCGGGAGGTGCACTGTGGCTTGGCACAGGTGGCATGAAGCCCGCAGAACAAGGGGGGTGGCTTTCTGAATGCTAGGCTGTTTGGGTGGGTGCAAGTTCCACGTGACCTCAGGCTAGTGGCTCTTCCCTCCGTGGTGCCCGCTGTGGCCCCTGCTTGAGGGAGGTCCTGGGACCCTGCACTACCGGTGACGTAGTGATCACGAGGGCCTCTCACCTGAACAACCAAATCATTGTTCAAAGCGTCTTTGGACACTGCAGTTTTTAAAGATGCTGCTGACTTTGGGAGCCATTCGTAAGAAAAGAAACATAAAACAGTTCTGCCTGTCAATTCTGACTCAATGGCTGCGTTCCAGAATGGCTAAGAGAAGTTGATCCTTCAGAACTGAACGCTTGGGCTGGGGAGACAGCTCAGTGGCATAAGTACCTGCCTGGCAAGTGCAAGGTCCTGAGTTCGATCCTCTATACAAAAAGAGAGAACTGAATACTTTAATATCATAATTGAAAGCTAAGTAAATTTAAAATTCTTGTTTTATGGCAAATATCTTTTCACTGGTAGTTTCTGTGGTGGGATATATTTCTTTATTCCTCCTCACTGAGTTGACCTTTATATTGTATTTGTTCCTAAAGTTAGGAGTGAAACTACTGGTTTGTTGCAAGCTTTCCGTTTTAGTACCTGCTGTTTATTAAGCACATGCAGTCCGTGGATAGTCATGATTTATTAGCTGCAGGTGCTGCCGCCCCGTTGCGCACTCCACATTCACCTCGCAGTCGGTGCCCCGGCTGACCCCGGCAGCGAGAGCTGAAGTAGCCTGCATGGGACACGATTGGGAGCTGACTGGAGCCCATGGTGTCTGTTTGCACAGTCCATTTCTGCTCATTTTAAGCATGGGTGCTTTGATCACAGCCAGGTTTACTTTTTTGTTGTTTGTTGGTTTTTGGCGGAACCAGGGTTTGAACTCAAGCCCAAGTGCTTTTTCTACTGAGCTATCTCCCCGGCCTCTGGTTTACTTGTAATACATATAAAAAGCGAAGAGTGCAAAAGGAAAAAAAGTAGATACGTATACGTGATGGAAGAGGAAGCGGACCTCCTGCCCCATGCTGTGTGTGACACCGAAGGCTCACCACACTTTCCAGCTCTGGAGTTCGCAGGTGCTGCGCTGGGTCCAGAGAAGAGCAGTGGGGAGGATGGGGAGGACGGGGAGGACGGGGAGGACGGGGAGGACAGAGAGGAGGGCCGGAGCCTGTGGGGATGGTCAAGCCTGCGGCCCTCTGGCACAGGATAAGGAGACCTGGTGGAGTGGAGAGCTCAAACCTTCTTCCTGGCTTTGCCAGGAGGGTCTCCTAAGAATGCACTTGGGACAGACTTGCCCTGCAGTAAGTCCCAGGCAGGGGCTAGGGGCCCCAGATGAGCCCTTCCCTGGCCTGGCCTCACCCCTGTAGTGGTCAAAGTATTTGGGGAGCACCAGCGGTTGGGGGAAGGAGGGAAAGAGTGCTTGGAATACTTCAATCAGAACTGCTGTGGAAGGGGCGGAAAAATAACGCGCAGGAGAAAAGGAGTGGCTGAGCTGCACAGCAAGAACTGCAGACAGGAGAAGGGAAAATGGAGGCCGCCTGAGCGCAGGGCTGAGTGCAGGGCTGCGGGGGGCAGCTGCCTGAGGAAGCAGCCTTCAGAGACCCAGGGGAGGGGCGGTGCGTTTCCATTTGCAGTAGCATAAGAGTTCCCAGTGTAACTTCAAATTAGGGCTTGCCATGCCTTCTTTAGGGTTGTATGTAGGTATAATAGTGGACCTTAGTTAGGAAATCACCTTTAATCATTTGAAGATTCACAAATGTAAATTCATTGAAGTGATTAGGGGAAAAAAAAACTTGAAATTGCTTTACTTTGTAGCAAGGCTGTAACCATGTGCTCAAAAGCTGGGTTTTCAAGGGTAGAGTATGAGGTAGGACGAGGGCCTTTCTGAGCATGAGCCACCTTAGTGTCCCGGGACCTGGCTGGCGAAGAGTGACCGCAGGGCTGGAGGCCACAGTTTAAAGATGCAATGCTGGTTTTATTTATGTATTTATTTAAATAGGACTTTTTGTGTGATACTGGGGATTGAACTCAAGACTTTTCGCTTGCCAGGCAAGTGCTTATTCTACTGAGCTATCTCCCCAGCCCTAAAATGGGATGTTTTTTGTTTTTGTTTTTGTTTTGCAATGCTGGTTTTAATGCTGTTCTTCTGAGGAGGCTAGGTGGCCTGTTAACTTCCCAGAAACCCCAGCAGATTCTTAGTGATACTTTTGAAGTAGGTTGGGAAAATGCATGTATTTTCTTTCTTCTTTTTTTTTTTGGTGGAACTGGGGTTTGAACTCAGGCCCTTGCGCTTGCCAGGGAAGCACTTAAAATTGATTACTTTTTTTTTTTTTTTTGTTTTTTTTGTTTTTGGTGGAACCAGGGATTGAACTCAGATCCTTGCACTTGTTTTTTTTTTCCCCCGGAACCAGGGTTTGAACTCAGGCCCTTGCGCTTGCCAGGGAAGTGCTTATTCCACTGAGCCATCTCCTTGGCCCTGCACTTGTATTTTCTAAAGCATTTAAAATTCTTAGATGAAAGGCTCTCTAGGCAGACTAGGAGGCTGGGAGGACCCCTAATATTTTGGAGCTCTTGTATCAGTTGCTTTTATTGCTACTATATTTAAAATGAATATCGTGAGCTCCTGAGAATGTGGCCCACTGTAAAAGCAAACCTTTTGCTTTGGAGCTTGGAATTTTTTTTTTTTTTTTTTCTTTTTAAATCAGGATTGAACTCAGGACCTTGCTCTTGTCAGGCAGGTGCTATCTCCCCCGGGCAGGAGCCTGGAATTCCTAATTGTTTTCACCAAAGATGTAAAACAGGCTTCAATATTGGTTTGAAAGAGGCCAGACTGGGGAGAGAGGGGCCTTTTCCTTCCCCTGGTCTCAGCTTGGTTTGGTTCCATTATCCCAGAGGGGTTGCAGGTGACTTTGCTTTCAATGTGTAGGACCCATGACTTACGTGAAATTACAGTAAGTGTTGGACCCACATTGTAAAGTGGATTCATGCACAGGGTCAGTGCATACTCTTATTTATTTATTTATTTATGTGTGTGTGTGGCCAGCTCAGCCCACCAGGGGCGGGGCTGGCTGGCATGTGGGGCTGGGGGATTGAACCACGGTCCCTGTGCTTTGCTAAGCTTGTTCTAAGTAGGTGCTTTAGACCACTGTGCCATCTCACCAGCCCTGTTTGAGGTTTTGAAATCAAGTTTTTGTCTTTGAGAATCTTGCAGCCTATAGTGGAGCGGGATGCCACCATGTGTTCGTGCACAGGTAGCCATAGTGTACAGTGTTGGGTAGAAAGCAGGTTTCTTCCTGAATTGCTCCTATGTTATTTATTTTTGAGATGCCCCGAGTGGCGTCTTGTCCACTGTCCTATGGGGAATTATCCTTGACGTTGATGCACTCCAGCTGCCCGTACGGAGAACTGGACACGTCTTCTTTCTGCAGTTCATCCCTGTGAGCTCCAGGCCATCAGTATGTCTTACTGTAGTAGTTGAGGCTGGCTGTGAACTTACTCTGTAGCCCAGGCGGGCCTCAAGCTCACAGCAGTCCTCAGCCTTCGGAGTGCTGGATGTGTGTCACCACACCCAGTACGCCTATTTTAAAAAAACAACTGGTATTGTGACGTAGGGTTTTGGAGGAGCAAATACTGGGTTTTGCTTTTCATGCATTTGCAAGAAATTTTCCGCTGATGCCAAATAAAAATGTAGACCCATCCGAGTGGGGGAGGAGTCGGTTACTACATCCCTCCAGCTCGCCATGGAGAGTGTGCCCCGTTCTTTTCGTCCTGAGGACACCTGTTGCATCCACGAAAGCTTTGCTGTTGTCGGCAGAAAGTGTGCTGTTTGTGTAGGCCTTCCAGGATCACTTTGCACTCTGCTGAGGGCCTGCAGAGATCAGCACTGCCTGACGTGTGTGTGTGTGTGTGTGTGTGTGTGTGTGTGTGTTTGTGTGTATGTAGGTAGAAGGGACCAAGCTGTCCAACAAGACCACTGTGAGCCACTGCTGGGACTGAAGCAAGGCTTCTTAGAAACAAAACAAGCTGGAGGGGGTGGGAGACTGTGTCAGGGCTGCCTAGAAGTATTTCTTTAAACTGGAAGCCCAGCTGTGCCTTCAGGGCAGTCACTCCTCACAGGCCAAGCCCTCCCTGAGCTGGGCACTGGGCCACCGGGCTCTCCATGGGATGGGGCGGGACAGTATGCAAAGTGGGGGCGGGGCAGTATGCAAAGTGGGGGCGGGGCAAACCTCCAGTGCGCTCAAGAGCTCCGCCCTCTCCGTAGTGCGCATGTGCGGCCCCCTTCCTGCCGTTAGGCAGTTGGGGCGCCGTTGCTGGTGGTGTCTGGGGTAGCGTAGAAATGGCTGGCGGCCAGGCTTGCCTGAGGGAACTTGAGGCGAACGCAGAGGAGTTGGACTGCGAGTTGGACTGCGACGCCGGCCGAGACGACTGGAGCCTGAGCCTCCTGGAGCCAGTCGACGAGGAGCAGTGCCGCCACATCCGCAGGCAGTACCGGCAGCTGATGGACAGCGTGCAGCAGAGGCGCGACTCCATCGTGGGTGCCCCGGGCGACTCGCTGTCCGAGGCCCTGGAGGAGGCCAATGCACTGTTCGATGGCGTGAGCCGCCCGCGGGAGGCCGCGCTCGACGCACAGTTCCTGGTCATGGCTTCGGACCTGGGTTGTGAGAGGGCGCGGCAGCTCAACAGGGACCTGCGCCTGTTTGACGTGGTGGCCTTCAGCGAGCTGCTGCTGGCCTTCGCCGGCCTGAGCTGGCTGGAGGTGGCACAGGAGCAGAGCCAGGACGGCGAGGGCCTGGGCCCGGCCTTCTGGAGCGCCGTGCGGCGCGAGGCGGCCGCGTGGCTGGCGCAGACCGAGACCTTCCACTTCCTCCTCAGCTCCCTCTGGTTGGGGCCCGAGGCGCAGACCCCGGAGCGGCCCCGCAGGGCGCGCAGAGCCCACGTGGGCCCGGCCGAGCCCACCAAGCTGGTGCGCCTCGACCCGAGCGCCCCGCAGGAGTCCACGGAGCGCGAGGTGGAGCGCGTCCTGGGGCTGCTGCAGACCTACTTCCGCAAGTACCCCGACACACCCATGTCCTACTTCGAGTTCGTGGTGGACCCGCACTCCTTCGCGCGCACGGTGGAGAACATGTTCCACGTGTCCTTCATCATCAGGGATGGCTTTGCGCGGATGCGGCTGGACCAAGACCGGCTGCCCGTGCTCGAGCCCGTGGACGCCGGCCCTGCGGAGGACTACGACCTCGGTGGCTGGGGCCGCAAGCAGGGAGTGATAACTCTGAGTTTACAGGACTGGGAGAACATCGTGGCCACATTTGAGATCTCCCAGGCCATGATCACCAGTTCATGCTAAAAGTTTCTGAGGTGCCGCCGCCTGTTTTGTGTTTTTCAGAGCACACGCTGTATCTCCTGCGTGTGATATATTTATAAGGTCATGATCTGTTATTAAAAATGGTACCAGCCTGCTTATGGGAAAATTTTTGAATGCTCTATCATTAATAAAAATAAGTTCTGGCTGGGGGTTGTGGCGCAGACCAGTAATCCCAGCACTCAGGAGCTCAGAAGCATGAGGCAGGAGGATCATTGTCAGGTCAAGGCTGATCTGGACTACATAGTGACACCTTGTCTCCAGAAATGAAAAGAAGTTCTGAATTTCACCAGCTAAAATACTGGATTGGGTGCCATGGGTCAGTGAGAGCCCAGCTATGTGGAAGGCTGAGGTAGGAGGATCCCAAGTTCCAGGCCAGCCTGGGCAACTTAGGTGCCACCCCATCCCAAAAATGACAGGGCAGGGGGTGTGGCTCTGTGGTACGCAGGTCCTGGATTCTATCCCCACTGTCGCTCCCTGTGGGGAGATTCTGCACTGCTCCTGTATCAGAATGAACCACAAGAGGCTCATAAAGGCGGCCGGAGTAGTGGGCAAGGAGTAGCGAAAACTTGGCAAGGCAGTTAATAGACATTAGATAGGGAATTAAAAAAAATCGCACGCTATACTGCACCGGGAAGAGTGGTACTCATCCTGAGCAGTTTCTGTGGGTGGACTCAACAGAGTATCTGCCTTTAAGTAGCGAGCATCCACTATGGACTGAAAGGTGAGCAGGATCTAGAAGGTGGGAAGGGCCTTGGAGGCAGGGTGGAGTTGTGAGAAGGCCCGAGAGCATCAGCAGCTTCAGGAGCCAACTATTCTGAGAGTTGTGCCTGTGTTATTAGTGTCCTTAGGGTGGAAGAAATTGTCACACAAAAGCATGCAGTTGTGAGCTGCCTTACTGGTGAGTTTCTTTGCTGCTCCAGGTTTCTCTTTATAGGTTGTTCTTCAGAATCCATAACCTCATGTAACAATTTTATTTTGGCCTGGGAGAAAAGTCAGTATTATGTAGGATTTGGGAGCTGGCATTGGGGCCCTTTTTGCCAAAGTTGGGCACCACATGGCCAAATGCTAGTTGTGCTGTGTCTGATGCTTAGCCAGGGCTATCCCTCTCACTTTGCCAGCCTGGGCTGGGAACCATGGACTTTACCTCCAGGCATGTGGCCTGGGCTTCCACCGCATGCTGGCCTAGGGTGGCCTCATTCTCCAGTGGTGTGCCAGCCACAAGCACCACTTGATCTTCCTGGGCGATGCCCTCCCTCCACTGAGGCTACCTGAACCTTGATTGGGGACCATCTCTTGGCCAGTCACTCTGCGAGTGTATAGGTCCCCGTGAGGACAAAGAGCTGGCCAAGTGGTGGACCTAGCTGCCAACACCGTGAAGGGAAGAAAGGGAGGAGGAAGGGCGTGCAGTCCTCACTGCCTGCCGCTGTCATGCCACTACAGCAGCTTTGAGTACTTGGCCCAATTTTGCAGGCATTGCTGGGAGAGGCAGAGGCGAGGAGGACGACTGGCCACTGGCCATTGGTGACAGGTGCCCAGGCGTGGCCTGGGGGCTCCTCTGGGACCCCACCACCACCACAGTGCATTTGGTATTTTCATAGTACAAAAGTGCAGTTGCCTTCTTCAGCCTAATTCTCTGCAAGTCAGCTGTAGAGTTTGGCAACAGGCTTGACAGGAATTACTGTAGCAGATAAGTTACTGTTAAGTCAAACAATATTGCAGATAGAAAACAGCACCTCTCACTAATTTAAAAAATTCTAACAAGAATATGTTAACCTAGCCATTGCAGTACATTGAGCTCCATAGAGACAGCGCCAGGGCAAGTGAGAGACAGACCGGCACTGGGCGACTCTGTACCTCGCTGAGGAAAACAAGTAAACATGGGCAAAGGAGATCCTAAGAAGCCGAGAGGCAAGATGTCATCATATGCATTCTTTGTG